TTTTTTATTTATTGTATACGTTGATTGAAAAAATCAAAATAGTAAAATTGTATACATTGATTAAAAAAATCAAAATAAGAAAAATCATAAGATTTATATTCCATTTAGAATTGTTATTATAAGATATATTTTAAAATAAATTATCATCTAAAAATATATATTAGATATTAAAAACATATTTATATCATAAATAAATTAAACTTTATTTTTATAAATTTAACATATAGATTTTTATATTTTTAATAGTGTTAAATTATTATAAAATAAGTCTATATGATTGTAGTTCTACCCAAATATTTAAAAATTATCTATGATAGATAAATAAGTCACACTTAAAATATATATTTTTAAAGAAAGTTAGGTTCAAACCAAGTAAATTATAATAAAATATAGTATAACCTAATTTATTTTCATCTTTAATACTAATCGTAGATATAAAAAACTTGTAATAAATAATTATAATATATATTTATACCTTTAAAAGATATATAAAATTTTTAATACTACAAATATATATAAGAAATTAAAAATAATAAATTAAAAATAAGAAATTAAAAAATAAATTAAAAATAATAATTAAAAATAATAATTAAAAATAAGATTTCCGACGAAAAATTCCGTCATAATTTTCCGTGTGGGATGTTAGAGGCAATTAATACGTATGACTTATGTCAGGAGTGGCACGACCTTGAGCAAGAAATGCTACATGGGTGACGTGACCTTGGATAACATGTCAAGGATGGCACGACCTTGGTCAAGATATGCTACAGGGGTGGCATGACCTTTGCACATTGTTATATCAGGGGTGAGCACGACCTTGGGCTGCTACAGGGGTAGCGTGACCTTGACATAGTGTTAATTGCAAGATTTGTAATGGATTGGTATGATTGTGAATTGTGATGTGAATATGATGCATGATTAATAGAATTAGAAATGGTTGTGAATATTTCATTAAGTAATGAGTTATGATGAGATTATGTTGTGTGTTTCCTTGTGTGTTGTACATATAGATATTTTCTTTTCTCACTGTACAATTTGTGGATGTTTTAGGTGAGAAAGATCCGGCTATGAGTGACATCTAGAATGCCAACAATTGAATTGTGGGTGTGCTATGATATTGTGACATCGGGGCAGAGGATTCTAGGATATAAATTTTTATATGTATTTGGAGTTGTACCTTTTCTTTTGAAAACAATTTGTAAACTCTTAAGTTTTACTTTCCAAGTTTTATTTTCAATTATTTTGGATATTGAAAAACAATTATGAAGGTTTTATGTAAACCCTTTTACCAACGTTGAAAATTTATTTCCTTAATTTATTTACATTATTACAATATATATGTGTTAGGGTAGTAAGGGTGTCACATTTAGTGGTATCAGAGCAGGTCGATCCAATCGACTGTGAGTTATGAGTCTACGTACTATGCTTGTTTGGTAGATGAATTGATTGTAGAACTTGTTGATATGGTAGTATGATGATTGATTAAGTTTGTTATTTATTTAATTATAGTATAATTGTTAACTCTTATGGAAACCTCTCTTTGATCTATCTACCAATATCTTGAAGGAGATGTATATCTTGACAAAGGTATTTGGTTGGTTATATTGTGAATTTGGTTTAAACACTAATGAGATAAAACTTCATTTAGTTCTGCAATCCTATATCTTTTATGCATGCAACTACTTTGGATGGTGCCAGCAATATAGTATCCTAGGTTGCTAATGTATACATCTTATAAGCATTGAATTACAGCTGCCACCAACCCACCATTATTGAAGATATTCAAACCTGAAATTTGTTTCTAAAGTTATTTTCTGTTTAATTAGAATATGTTTAATTATAGATTTAGTATGTGTATGCCAGCACATCATTTGTAAGTATAGTGAAAGTTGGAGGCAACATCCTTGATGTGAAATTTAAATGATATGACCTGCAGATACCTGTGACAAGTATTTAGCTGTATTTAGTGTAGTACTAGTACAGTATGAAGTCTTACTGGTCTGTTTTGAGTTCTTTCCTTTGCAGCTAGGATATTTTATTTCCACATCTGGCTGTCTTCCTGATGCCTATGTAATAAGTTGAGCTCTAATTGTCAACGCAGTTGCATATATACATGTTAATTATGCTTGACAATTTGAAAATGTTCATATTTATCAGGGCAAGATTCCTTTGATTGGCTGTGGGGGCATTAGCAGGTAAAAACTACATTCTCCAATCATTCTCCTTCATTGCTGTAGTTGATTCCAGCTCTCTTAATATTCCTTATGAATACTTCTAAAGGAAAATAAATTATAGTATTATACAACTAATTCTGTGAACCTTCTACGTTTATTTAGTGGTGAGGAAGCATACAAGAAAATACGAGCTGGAGCAACACTTGTTCAACTTTATACTGCATTTGCTTATGCAGGACCTGCTCTTATTCCTCAGATAAAGGTATTAGCCATGCACATCTTAAACATTCTGGTTGAAGGATGGGATGTTTTTTATATGCCTAGGTTGTGGTGTGTCAAGATTTTCTTGTTGCTTATTGTTCTCTCTAGTACCACCGTTCGCTATATTTGGAAAATTCTTAACATGGGTATAATTGTTAAGTTATTTTAACTAATTAGTGAGTGTTTGGTTCAGCTTAGTTTGAAGAAATAATTGTTTATTTTTAGTTTTACTAGCTTCCTGAGAGAGTTTATGAAAAATAAGTTATTATTTCTCCAAATTTAAGTGGTGCCAATTGCCAAACATGAAACATGTACTTAATCTATTGATTTAATAATTTAGTGGTGGAGAGTTGGGATAGATGTATGAGGACTTAGATTTGATCCTCATTATTGCCATTGTAATCTTTCCTACAGATAAAAAAAGAAGAATTGCACTTCTTGCTTCTAAAATTACTCTCACGATTTTTGCCTCCAAAGAATTTTTGTTGTGAATTTCCCCTCAATTTATAAAATGTCACAAAATTTACCCCTACATAAACTGCCACAATTAAGACTAATTTGTGACAGTTTAAAGGAATAACTGTCACAAAATTGTACAGGGGGACAAAATATATGACATTTTGTAAATTGGGAGGCAAAATTTGCAAAAAGTAAAAAGTCAGAGATAAAATTCACAAGATTGTGTAACTTTAGAACTAAAAAGTGCAATTAAGTCTAATTTATTTATTTTGCTCAACAAGTGGTATTAGAGTTTAATTATCTATAAATAGGGACTTGATGATATTATGAAGGATGGACTAACCACCCTGAAATAAGTTCATCAAGCTGCTTTGGAGGGGAATCTCATCTTCTGGTTTTAGCCTACTGTGAAAAAGGTGCATAATACTGTCATTTCCTTAATATCTTCCCCAAAACAACAGTCAGTAAAATTTGCATTAAGGAAAAAATCACACTAATAATGGCTTTGGGTTCTGTGGATGCTGATCATGATCAAAGTGATGACTTTTATGCACATCCCAGTCATGCCATTACTACGGCAGTTGTGACAATATTGGGATGTATGTTGATTCTACCTTGGGGGAGAAAAGGACTAATATTTAAAGTAAATGTGGAAGGATTTCCCATTCTTCCTTTTCTCTGATCAAAGTTATCAAGTAAGATTTAAGTACACATTATCTGAAAATTTTTCATTCGGTTGTTTTAGGCTGATTTAGCTGAATGTTTGGAAAGAGATGGTTTCAAATCTATTCTAGATGCGGTTGGTGCAGACTTCAGATGACTTTGATTTGCTCGTGGATGCAGTGCTGGAAGAGAGATACTATCCGTGTGTTAATGCTCTACTTGGTTCTTTTTGTCATCTTTAATATATACCTGATTTTAATTTTATGTATTGTTTCCCCCACTGGGATTGTTGTTGTTGTTGTAGTAGTACTGGGTTATGATTAGCATGTATTGTATTCTGCTATGTCCCCTATTAAATAAATGATTGAATAGTTTTCTGTTTGTGGTTTCCAAACAACCATGCCTCCTTAGTAATCAAGAATTCCATCGCAACAGTTATTTTATACAATAATTAGATGGTTATGTGTTCATCAGGCCAATTAATTTAAGTCCATTAAATTTAATGGTTCAAATCTTGTCATTGAAAAGTAACAGTAAAGAAGATTGCAAGTCAGAAGTGGAAAAGAGAAAGATTAAGGTACCAAGAGGTTGGTAAGGATCAAAATGTTTCGCATTTTCAATTCTAATCCTCGGCAATTTCTCATGGTAGATGATCTAGATGTTCTCTTCTCTCTAAACTTTTTTTTGCAAGGGTAAAAATGAATGGAGTAGGATGGGTACCATATGATACTATGGTTAGCGTTATAAAATGGTTATTATTTTTGTATAATCCCACTGCTGTTAAGTGGGGACCGGATGTAGTCTTATTACATTTTTTTTGAAATTAAGATACTCTTGGATACATTACTAAAACAAATTATTGAAAAATTTATATAGATTTAGAATATTGGTAAAGAAATTGACACTTATCATTTTTCATTAATTCATAACTATGATGATCACAATTCACAAAAAAATATATTTATGATCATAACAAAAAAAACAAAAAGACTATAGTTTTTGTCCATACCATAACCAATTTTAGTTAACTATATCAATAAAAGCATCTTTGGTAGAACTTAAAACAAATATGAGCTATATAATAGCTTAAGACTCAACCAATATTACTAAATTATTATCTAATGTTAATTGTAACACTCTTCTCTTTCCCTTTCCATCAGGCATAGTTTCTAACCCAGGTTCTCCTCAAAACAATTGTGTCAATTTAAGAAGTCTAGCATCATTATCAAGTGAATGATGTATGTATTTACTAATGTGTCACAACCTTGTCTCTCTCTTTTTTTATATCTTTTATCATAGACAAAAGTTTAAGATTCAAATACATATAAACCAAATATTCTACCCCTTTGGATCTATCATTTTTATTCAAAGAATGAATAAAGTAGTATGGATTCTAATTCCTCTCAAGCATGAGAAAGAATATGGTTGCATAAGAAACTTAAGACAAACTTTTTGGATATGTATCCAAATATATCCAATAAGCATCCTAGAAAAAAAGTTTAAAAAAATGATTTTTTTAAAAATATTTTTTGAATACATATCTGAAAGTATCTAAGTGGTATTAGTATTTAACATAGGTACGACACTTATATTTTTTCATTTTTAAGTATTCGGGCTTCATATATGTAGCCCTAGTCATAATGTGAACCAATATAGGGTGTGTTTGTATTATCATTTGGTTTCTTTCAATACCAAAATTATGAGAGGTCATTCACATTGAACGTGCATTGGAATGTGAGAATAAAGTAAAACAAACACACATAAAAAGCTAGTGTTTTGTTTCTATTTCTACACTTTGTTCTAAACTACATTTCTTATTAAACTACTTAAGATAAACTAAAATATTTAATAAAATTTTTCCATATAATACTTTCAAATTAAATGTTACTTTGATTTAAAGAAAATAATTTATAATAATTTCAGTTAGAAGTGCTTTCTTAATTGATGAAACACTTCATGAAGAGTCATAGCTTATGAAGAGTCATGGATGAAGAGTCGTGAATGAAGAGTCATAAATGAAGGATCATTTCATCATCTATAAATAGGGAGACTTGTGAAGCGGTGAAATGTTGATATGAGTCTATCCAATAAATTCTAGAATCCTTTTTTAGAGAAAGAAAGAAGTAGGTGAAAAAAATTATTGTATTTCTCTTTTAGAGAAAGGGGAAGAGTTGTTTCCACCATGTTTAGTGAAAATTGAGAGATAGACATCTAAGAGAGGTTAGATTATTTGAGTGACCTCTTAAGAAAAAGAGACTAATTATAATTCTACTTTCATAGAGAAAATCTTTATTAGACTAGGTCCCGTAGTTTTTCCTTACTCACATTAAGAAGATTTTTCACGGAAAAATTCTGGTGTTATTACTTGCTACTAGAAAAAGTTAAAATAGCCATCAAATTTAGCAATTGAAATTTAGTAATCATTGACAGGGACCGGTTTAACGATTGATAGCATATTTATTTATATAACGAATTAGCAATCATATTAACAACTAAAACATGTGGTAGCAAATATATCGATCGTTGAGTCTGTCACTAAAGGATTACTTTTCAATATTTTATTTTCAAAAAACATAGCTACCAATTAAGTGATAGAAAATACTACCAAATGACGACAAATTATTTAATCACTAAATAACATTATTAACTATAAAATTGTGATTAACTCTCTTTCGATCACTAAAATGCATATAATTAGTGTCATCTTGCAACCAAATCTTGATTGGTAGCTAAAAAAACTTGATTGAATGATGTTGGTAGCAAATTTTAAATATTTAAAAATTTTCTCTCTATTCTATGAACAAACCATGTTTATGTTTTTCATCTTATATAATTGGTAATATAAATAAATAATTATTTTATTTTATATCACTAATGTTAGTGATAAAACAAAATTAATCATATGAATTTATGTTTAAAATGTTATTGATTTTAATATTTATTATACCATGAACAATTTTAAGAAAACGATTTCCTTTTCAATGTTTTAGTAAAATCATAAATGCTAAGTAAATTATCTAATAGGTTATGATAATTATCTAACTATAAATATAATAAACTATGTAAGTAAAAAAGAAAAAACAAAAAAGGGAACCTTCGATGTGAATATATATATATATATATATA